AGAATGTGTAGCCGTTGAACGTTGACTGAGATCATCATGACTGTGCACCGAATTGCGCTTCAAACAGGACTTGCATGACTCGCATCTGAAAATTTGCTATTATTAAAGAAGCTATTCAAACATTAAAAGAAAGTTTCTAGGAAGATTTCCGGGTCAGGTGGGAAAAAAGTAATAGAACTGAATGTAAGTGAGCGTGAGTTTAATTTTTTGTGAATGTTCTAATTACAAAATCAAACCGTCGTAATCGATGCAGTATTTGCTTTTTTGAGAGACAAACTGCAAAGCCTGTAGGAAAATCTTCGTTAGCATCACATCGAGTAACATCAAATAAAAAAGTGAATAGGTAGTATTTAAATGAATGCTTAAGCAGCATAAATGCAGTGAAAAAGCAAGAATGCATTATATGCTGTACTACATTTTTCGCAAATTACAGTAAAAAAAAATTGCATAATTCCTCTAATTCAATCTAACTATACAACTCTAATTTTACCCATACATATTTTGATAGTCCATGGTAGCATGAACTATATCACCCACGAGATTTGTAGGATGTGGCAATTTACCGAACAAAATTGTTCGCAGCAGCCTTTGTGTTTCAGAAACGGCTAATCTGTTACCTGCACCCATGCTGCGCCTATCAGGGGCTAAGGTCGGTAACCCGTATGAACTCCCAGGAAAACATTTTATAATATCTGTCAAAAAAGCGGATTTGTTAAGATTTGAAAACAATCGTGCAAGGCATTCCGGACAGCTCTGTGAATTTTTAATATCACTGTAGCTTGAATTGAAATTTGTGCTAGTAAATTCATACTCCATTGAGATGAGAAAAAAAGATGAAGAAAACTTTGGCATGAAGAGGTTCTTCTTTACGCAAGAAATTTTACAAAAAGAATATAGCAGAACAAACAATAAAAAAACAAATGAACACTTCGTTCGTTAATAAGCTGCGACTCCCTAAAAGCTCTCTAAACTTTGACAAAAGAGTTTCTCTCCCAAAACTCCCAAATCAGATAATTTTTGCAGTTTTAGTTATTTTTAAGGTATTAAACTGAAGTTAATTGTTTGCTAACCTTAGCCATTTCTTTCGCTTTAGGATTAAGCTTCGAAAGACGAAGTGCAACCATATGACCAAACATTTCGTCCTCCTCATCCTCAATTCTCTGCCATATTGGTGGGGCTAGAAGTCGGCTGAAACTTTCATGTAAAAATAAAGCAGGCAGTTCAACATAGTTAAGGCAGCCTAATCACCTTGGAGGAATGGGAAGAATATGGTCAGTGAGACTAACCCGCGGGCGTTTTTCAGAAGGCGGAAGGTAGCAAGGATCTGCAAAGAATCACTAATACATTTGAGGAAAGATTGCTACTTCATAATCTCCAGAAATTTTTTCCAAATTTCTTTTTATTTCCACAGTGAGTCATCCTGGCAATAAGCTGCTTCTTAAGTGATATAGATAAGACAAACACGTTAATTTTGCACTTAGTGTTTTTTTTGAGGACTTGTCATGAATTTTAACCTTGATTAGACAACGGTGTCATTGAAGGAGATTCTATGGCTGCATCAGATGAAGAAGGCGGCTCTACCGCAGCCTCAGCCGCACGGCTTATCTCTTGTTTTATGAACGAGATAGCAGTCTCCATA